GTTCCTTTTTTTAATGCATGAAATTTTGTCTACTTAGTAGGTGTGAAATAATTCTAAACCACTTCTTTGAACTGCTGTACATATTCAATACTCTAGAGGCCTCCTTAGATGTTATTTGGGCACTCTAGCAAAGCTTGATTGGATTGCTTGTATTCTAGCAAGGTTTGCTTAAAAAAAAAAAAAAATCTTTTTTTTTTTTTTTTTTTTTTTTCCTGAACATTGAATTTCAGAGTGGCTTTGATAGAAGATGTTAACCGTATGTCACCCAATGCCTTGGCCATTGTTTTTGCTCCATGCCTCTTGCGTTGTCCTGATACCTCTGACCCTTTAACCAGCATGAAGGATGTCTCAAAAACAACCATGTAAGTTTTAGTAGTACTTTCAAATATGATGGAAGGCCAGGACTACTACCTGCATTTGTTACAACCTCATTCATAGCAAGCTGAGAAACTGAGGGTTGTTAAGAGTTGCTAAATTTTGGCTCTGCTGGCGTTGCCAATTTATATGCCCTTCTCTGACTCCTTCCACCTGTCTCGAGTTTACAAAACATAAAGTAGGATGACTTAAGTCTTAAATATCTGGTTTGTATTTTACATCAAGATAATCTTTTGGGGGGACTGCACACTAATCATATATATTTTGCCAAGACCCAAGGCATAATAAACACTAGGATATAGACTTAAACTGTCTCCTGCATACTTGGAAACCCCTGATAATTTCTTCTGTGTTCTTCCTTGAGTTGAAGAAGGTTCTGTCCTTGATCCTCTTCGTTCTCCTCGCCCTCCAGCAGCTCTGGCACTCTGAATGCCCCTCGCCATCCTCACTGCTTGGCTGGCCTCCAGTGAAAGCAGTTTGAAAAATGACAGCTTTTTGTAACTTCTTACTCAACCCATGGGACCACAGAGGTGGAAAAGGGCAGTTGCAGGCTCATTCTGTATCTACCAACCTGTGCCAGCACAGGGAAGGCGGGTAGAAGCAGTTAGCAGCCATAGTAATGTCTGTTTGCTAACCGTTGTTGTGCACAGTCAGCGTGAGAGGCTCAGGTTATCCCAGGAAGAAGACGTGCCGTTAGATTTAACAGCCTGTCCTGTTTTGCTTGCCGTGTTGGAGTCTTCACCCTGTTACCGTGCAGTGCTGCCCTTTATAAGGCATGCACTGTGAGGCTTTGCATGCCAACCATGTGTGTGTGTGAAACATCCCCAAGCCAGGAGAGGCATCTCATCCCACCATGGTTGTCCCCAGAGCTTTTACAGTATGAGGCTGCTCAATAAACTCTTGCCCTTTTGCCCAGGTGTGTAGAGATGCTCATAAAGGAACAGATAAGGAAGTACAAGATAAAAATGGATGAAATAAATCAGCTGGAAGCAGCCGAGAGCATCGCTTTCCGACGACTCTCATTGCTTCGGCAGAATACGGTAAGTGTTGAAATAAACCCCAGAACCACACTATCCAGCAGAAAGCATCCCACCCATTTCTTGGGAAGGGATGTGCTACTTATTTATCATGTCCATCCCATTCAGTAAGTGAAAGATCAATTGCAAGATAAGAAGAAAGGGGATTTGGACTTGCCCGAAGCTGTAGGTAGGAGCTAAATATACAGCTACACTGGAGTCTGATAAATGAAGGGTAAAGGGCTGGGGATCTGCCTTTGTAGTGGTCAAAATCTATTCCCATATAATTCAATCAACAAAACTAAGATTGCAGAGTCTCTTACATGGCAAAGGATTTCCTTCACTCCAGAGGTGGATGGTGGACAAAAACACACTGTGTTCTGTTAGGGCAAATGCACTTTTTCTTTTGTTTTTATTGTACTGATTAAAACAAAACAAACTCTGTCTGATCAGAAGCTGCACATAGTGAATTTGGTCTTTGTCTCTCTTTAGCTCTGGCCTGTAAAACTTGGGTTTTCTTCCCCTTACGAGGGGATGCTGGTATGTACACTGCCTGTGTTCAGAGTGCATGTTTGGTTGGTTGGGGTTTTTTTTCTTGTGGTACTACTGCATGACTAAAATACTACTTGGTTTTAAATACGCTTTTGAACAATCAAGACTGCATGTATTGGTGCAACTTTCTCCCCAGACTGCATGCAGCGCTGCTGACCTGTTCTGACTCGTATTTTATAGACATTCTGAATGTAACTTGTACTGGATGTTATAATATGACTTACAAGTAACTACTAAAACTAAGCCAAGGCTGGCAAATCAAATCACTATGCTTCAAAAAAGGTAACAAAACCCCAGAAATCAGGTGAACAGAAAAATTTCTATTACCTTTTGAAAGGTAGTGGATAACTAACAGCTCTTCATCAGTTCCATCAGCCCTTCATTTGGCCTACTCATTTGTCTTCCACCTTGCAACTAGTAGACAGGCAAGACTTGAGTAGCTTCTTATGACTGAGAGGCGTTACACATAAATCTGTCTTGCAGAGTAAAAGCTCACATGTCAAAGGAAATGACAGTGGCAACTCAGAACTGGACTCGTTACATGAAGAGGAGGAAGTTTCTGAAGCTGATAACCGGGAAAAGGAGATTCTCATTGATCGCATACAGTCAATAAAAGAAGAAAAGTAAGTCGTAGCTTTGAAAACCCCTTATTATCTCTGTAGATCGTGCCCTTTGCAGTTGGAGGTAATACACATCATAAAGCAGTATATTTTTCATCCAAAATGGTCTAGTTAATTATGTTCTATACGCCTTTATGAGGGTGAAAGGGAAAATGCAAAAGACTAATGGAGAGAAAATACTGTGAGAATTAATATTTAACGACTACATGCACGAAGGTTTAACTCTAAACACAAGCTGTATGAAGTTGCTTGTGTCAGCGACGTCTTTCTAGAGCGCTACCATCTCTGTTTTGATGTAGGGAAGATATAACTTACCGGTTACCTGAGCTTGATCAGCGAGGCTCTGATGAGGAAAATGTAGATTCTGAGACCTCCGCAAGCACAGAGAGCCTGCTCGAAGATAGAACAGGACGGATGGATACCGAAGGTCAGTATTAAGGTAGTGTGTGTTTTGGTTTTTTCAATTCTACATCTTTCACTGCATACAGTCGGGTGACCAGGTGTTATCTGGTCACAGTTGCTCGTATCAAGTTACGTTTCTATGCACGCCCTCAGTATCTAAGTATCTTGTTTCTTTAAAGCAATTATTGGATTACACTGCCGTGCTCAGAGCTCCAGTATGCCTGCCAAAGACATTTGCAAAGTGCCTTCTCTTTTGCAAACCTCTTCAAATTCTTCCTCTGCATCCCTGGCTTCAAGACACAGATCATCTTTAACACTGTCCAAGATTAAAGTGCCCCGTCGAACTCCAGTGATGCCAACGGCAAATATAAAACTTCCTCCGGGGATTTTCAAATGTACAGAATCCCAGGACAGGATTTCAGCTAATGAAGAGTCTCAAATAATGGTGAGACGAAGGGAGCAGCCAGCAAGGCGAACTGATAAAATCCACTCTGTATACATTGCACAAGGGTCTGCAATGGCCCACGCTCAGGAACTCTTGGATGAATACGAACCCACAGCAAAAGTAAAACGGAGGTTTTCGGACCCTTACTCTCACATTCCCTGAATAGAGAAGTGAAATACTTCAGCTGTCTGGACTTTTTGGAAGTTGACTGCAGCTTTGACTTTAACCCTTTGAAGGATGTGGACTTCTTCATGTTCTTTTAAGTGGCTGCTGGGAAGGCAGCCTGGAAATGTGCAGTACTGTAAGGGTTAAGCAAGGTTGTTTAAAACAAATATTCTTCACTTTAAATTAAAACCCTGCAAAGAAAGTAGAATATAAAACGTTGAGTAAAATACATGGGTTGAGTGTACAGGAAGAGGTCCCCTGATTCTGCTGCCGTGCCTTTTTCCATTTGCCTTATAATGGGCTTGAATGGGGCCAACAGTGAGTTTGGGTCAATGTGTATTGCCTTAATTTTTTTTTATGTTTCTGTGACAATTCTGTGTCGTTTACAGAACTGTTAATGTTGTAATAGCCTTAACCGAGACCAAAATATACAAAAACGTTTATTAATACATTGCACTTTTTAAAAATACACGTTAGTGTATCAGTGTCTTGTCTAATGAACAATTTCTTCCGAAGGAAGACTTTAAATCAGAATTGTATACCTTTGTCAGCACTTCATAAAGCATTGGGAAAGCTCCCTGCACAGGGGAAGCCCTGATGGCAATCGCCTGGGCTGTCACCTTGGAGCATTTTGATGCTCTTGGAGCCAACGTACAACCCCGCAGGGAGCCAGAGCGCTGGATGCTTGCGCGGTGTGGAGCTGCCTCATCCTCCCCACACTTCCCATCTGTACAGTGAAACCCCTGAGGGTGGGTGCGCTCAAACAGAAGCCGTTTTGAAGCAGCAGGCTCTGCACTCACGGAATTTCCCCAAGATCCCTGCTCTCTCAGCCCTGCTCCATGTTGAAGGGAGAGCACAGCCCTCAGCCGCTCTCAGTCCCTGCCTCCGGGGCACTGCCACCGTGGCCCCGCCACCGTGGCCCTGAGCGGCAGCCACCTCTGTGGGCGTGTGTGGATTTTCTTGGTTTGGTTTTTGGGGTGTTTTTTTCAAATAAAACAACGGTCAGACAGCTT